GCCTACAGTATTTTTACAGTTAAAATATTAGTTTATTAAATAAAGTCTAATGATACAACTAATCATGGATCCCTTTAACAATAAGAACACGGCAGGAAAGATCGTGATTCTAACAAAGAGACATTTGTTACCCGACAACTCGCTCTCTAATTTGGCCGTGGAGGCCGGTTTTCCTGGCGGGGGAGGCGGAGCTCCGGTCGGGCTGCTCTGGGTTCGGCTGTTCTCTGCGCTGGAGGTCCCGGCTGCATCTTTACGGGGCGCTTTGGGCGCAGACACCTCCTCAGGCAGCCCGCTCTGACGTGAGCGCCGTTTCTTTTTAATCCACAGCTCGTGGCAGTCCTGGTGGTGAGGGAGACTGGACGTGGAGGTAAACAAAAAACATGTCAGATTGGAGATTTAAAAACGTCGTGAATCTGTTAAGATTTTGCAAATTACTGACTCGGGCGGGGGCATCCTGTTGGGATCGACGTCACTTAGGAATTCGCTGAGGAGCGCTTGCTCTGACGTGCAGCGGCGCGAAGGGTCAAGGGTCAGCATTCGGTCCAGCAAGTCCAGGGCAGAAATAGGCAAACTGTGTAGGGAATAAAGATTTTAGCTAAAACAGAAAAACAGGAAGCTGTTCAGCAATTATTTAAAGAAGGTGCTGCGGAGCTACGAACAAGGAGAACTCTTCTCGTAGTCGCCGTCTGTACTGCTTTTTGGGTTTCATGGTGTTGAAAAGAGGAAGTTTTATGACATCGGGCCAGGCTGCAGGACACGGACTTCCACACAGACGGCTGAAAGAAGTTAAAGAGACAGATTAAATGTATTTATCTTTTCACAGCCACACCACTTTCATGCTGCAGCAGACTTTAACTGCAGTAGGATCGCAGATTTAAACATCCTGGATTAATAAATCTTATACAGAATTTTTCACTTCATATTTTAATGTCATAAATCTGTGCAGCAACCAAATGAAAACAGTTTGAATTCAGTCTCTTTAAAAATAAACTCAGCACAAATAAGGAAATTTGGGGTGAAACAACACATGTATATGTTTCAAACTGTTCATTAGTGCTTTAGGTCCAATACACACTGTGTCTGGAACAATAAAGATTTTTCAAATGAATTTTATCAGCTTGTCTTCTGAAGATGTTGTGTGTTGAAGGATCAGTGGATCTGTGTTCGACTACTCCGCCCAGGCTGCATTGTTGAGCACAGATCAAATGAGAAACTTTGCTGTTTCAGCAACATTTAATTAAAAAAACTTTGAGGTTAAACAAATGTTCATAATTAATTTAAAAAATACAAATTAAAGACGACATGGAAATTTCTCTTATTCATATCAAACAAATACCAAAATGTGACACTAAAGTATTGATTATTTCTAATACTTTTGATTACTTCTTATTAATGAATCTTACAGTGTTGGAAAGCCTGTTAATTTCTCTTTCAAATCATGCCACATTTGTAAGGAACATGCATCTGTGGGATGAGTAGTAGAGCTGAGTATGTGGGTTGCGCACATGAAAAATTTGCAAAATCTTCTCCGCCAAACAGTTTATTTTGTTGCTTTTGACTCATTTTGAGGTTCTGGTCCCCCCAGGTGCTGCCAGTCAGACGCCTGCTATAAGATTCATTGCCAAGTAGCTTTGTTATTACAAAATAAATAAATAATCTACCAAACACTAATTTCCTTACATTTTCTGCTAAGTTTATATACGTGCTGTAAACTGTGGTATGTTTCATTTGTTTGGGGAGAACTTTACCTGATGAGCTCCAGCTGTAAAAGTTCCTGATTAGCCTGAAAGATGGGTTTCTTAGTGAAGAGCTCTCCAAGAATACACCTGTGGGGGAAAAAAATAAATAAAACTAAAGAAATTCTGTTTAAAAAAACTTAGAAAATAAACAATAAAGTATAATTAGTTTGAAATGTAACTACTGATAAACACTTGSAACAGTTAGAAAACAACATATTGATAAAAGCCTTTAAAAATTACACTCCTTTTATTAGGTCCATTTGTAGGGTTGTTTGTTAAACAGCTAATCAGCCAATCACACGGCAACAATTTCTTGCATCAAGACATGATGAAGAAGTCACTTAAATCTGTACATAAAATTTGTATGTTGTAAATTGAAGATTTTTTGATTTAGTTTAAGAAAAAGGGGCAGAAATCATAAGATTATTTTCTTCTTCTGCTACYTTTCATTTAATTTCATTTTTTGTTTTGGTTTTTTTTATGTTGAATTTATGTTGTTTTGTTTTAAATGAATAAACTTTATAATAATTAAAAAATAAAATAAAATCAGGGGTTCTCAAAGCCATTTGGGTCTGGGGACCCCATACAAGGGAGAAAATATTCCAGGGACCCCCTCATGAACCCCACGCTGTTTTAAAAGATCATTTATTCTCATTTCAACCCCTAAATGCCATGGTAATATATTTATATTTATTAAGTTTATTATGTTTGTTTTATTACTTTATTGC